CAGACACTTAGGTGCAAGATTATGCCAAAATTTAATGTTTTCCGTCCCGTTTTTGCTCATATGTCGGAGGCAAAATGAGCAAGAGCGCTCATTTGTGCATCATTTTAGACAGAAATAAATGGCCTTTTTAGAAAGTGAACCATGGGTAGGGAATTGTTGGCAGTTTTCTCAAAAAATGCTTGAATTCAAGAAGTTTTAGATTTGGTTCGTTTTGGCATCGTTGGATAGAGAATTGAATGGGGTGATCATGACCCCCATGACCCTTGGTATGGGGTTCTTCTGGCTAAAAACTCATTTTTCAAACATCGGAAGCATGTCTCTACTTCCGCACATGTGCAGGGTTCTGGGGTTGCAACTGTCCCTCATAAACATTAAATTTAAGGGGCTTTTTAGCTCTACATGCTCAGCTCATATCGCATGGCAAATTTACACTGTATACGAAAACTTACCCCAAAACAGTGCCTAATTAAAATAAATATAAATAAATGACTGACCTTTCTATATCGAACCGTCAATTGTGGGGTGCTCTCCAAACTGAAACCATCCCCTCGTTCCAAAAGTGTGGATGGCTGGGAGAACTTCTGCCGATTCGTGGAAACCTTTACATGTGAATTCACTGCCACATCTTGTGCAATAAAACTCTTAAAGTTTTCACTGTCCAGAAAATCGTCTGGAGAATTCCCGTCACTCTGTTCATTATTATCGCACATTTTTTTATATACAAACGGTTTGCTGCAAACAAACTCTTTTGCTAGATAACACGTGTTTGCCGACCGGCGAAAATAAACCTCCCCAATCGGTCAGTACCATCAGCAAGATGTTTTTAAACTGATCATGGACAGGTAGTAACATTTCTTCGTGGAGGGTACCATTCAAAACACGCGCGAATTTGTCACATCACGCAGGCCCAACGGTCCGAACGGCTCGTTTGCTTCTTTGTCAGCTCTTTGAAACGGATAAGGACAAACATACTTTGACGAATAGCCAGTTTATGGTTCCTTTACGCAGGCAACTTTAGATACGCGAAACAACAACAGCAGGCAAAAAGGGATTAAAACTAGAAAGTCAGCTACAATAAACTATCTGCTGAGCAAACTGATGTTCCTAAACCCTCACAAATTTGAAATTTTTTTATTCGTCATTAAAACCACATAACTTGTATATCATGCTATCTATAGAGTTTTATCAGACGTCAATCCACTTAACCTAAAATATTTGAAAAACACAATTTCCCGGTCAGAAAAAGTTGTTTACAAGTGAATTGGTTCTAATAAATTCCCACATTCAACTTACGAATCAGTTTAGGAAAATGGATAGCGGTGAAAATTCCGAAATATCCAACAACGAGGTAACTTTGCCCTTATCTCCAGTGTTATGTTCAGGACAGTCGAAAAAGCTGCTTAAAAACCGAATACGAAACAGAAGAGTTCTTCGGAAGTGCAAAAGTGCCCTTAGCTATAACATAGAGTATCAAAATGGCTCAAAAAGCGAGTGTAATGTGTCTGCTGCAGAACCAAATCCACACTTTCAAAATACCACGGATCAAGAGACTGTTGCAGACAGAATCAAAAGATTGGAAGCCCTAGAAAAGAAACGGCTTCAAATTATCAACACCATAAGCTTCAGCTCGATAATTCCTAACGATCTACAATCAAACCAAACAACTGACAAAACTCTTGCCAGAACAGACCAAATATTGCCATTAGAAGAGTGCACTGGCTCCACATTAGTGGAGAATACAGAAATCCAAAGAAATGCAGTTAACATTCCAGAATTTGGAAATTTTCAAACAGGATCAGGGAAACAGATCGCTGTTTCAAAGCCGCAGATTGAAATTTCCAAGAAACTCTTTGATGACATTTTTCTCTCAGGAGTTTCAAGAGACAATAAGTACAATTATTTGCACTGCAACTCTACCCAAACTAGTGCCTATAATAACAAGTTTTGCAACATTTCAGCGAGAGAGCCTGTTGCTCAATCTAGATTGGATAGTTTAGATCCGACAAATAAGGATATTATCGGCAACAATCAAAGCCCAAAAACTAAAATTCCTTCAACAGATTCAAAATCAAAAGACGTATGTGAAGAAGACATTTTTGAAGACTTAAGCCTTGAAAATGATGCATTTCAAGCAGCCTCCTTACAACTAGAAGCGTTGTTCAGCTCTGAAAGGCGTGAGTGCTCTATGCCAGTTTTGAAGAAACAAATTAACCACAGCAAGGAAAATATACTTCAAGGAACAAAAAAAATATTTGAAGGCGAAAACTTTGACGACTTAATCCCTGGTTGTCATAAAGGATTCCAAGCAGCCTCCTTGCTTTTAAATACAAGCTGTAAAGACGGATTGTTGAACTTAGAAAAGCGTGACGACTATATGCCAACTTTAGAGAGGCAAATTGAAAACGCCGCAGAAAAGACACGAAAAAATATATTTGACACGGAAAACTTGGACGACTTAAATATTGGATCCAATAAAGGATTTCAATCAGCTTCCGTGCATTTAAACACAAGCTGTAATCAGCCCAACCAGAAATTGCTCAACTTCGAAAAACGCGATGAATCTATGCCAGTTTTAAAGAAGCAAATTGAAAACCCCATAGAAAAGACACCCGATCGAAGAAAAAATATATTTGAAGGAGAAAACTTTGACGACTTAAAACCTGCTTGCAGTGGATTTCAAGCAACATCATTGCATTTCAAACAGCCTCTTCGCCCTTCTGAAGTCTCCTCTGGAAATGTAACTTATTCAAACAAACCAAAAATTTTCGAAACTTCTAATATGCAATTGAGCGCAACAAAATCACCACAACCCAATCACAATTCAAAATGTTCTGAAAATACAGTCCGAAGCAACAGTTCAATCATATCAGATAACCATTCCTTAAATAAACCAGCAAGTCTAGGAACAAAACAGAGCAAAGGTTCCGTAAAACAGCGAAATATATTTGCAGATGAAAACTTTGATGATCTTAATTTAGGAGGAATTGTATTTCAAACTGCAAACACATTGCAGAAACAACAAGCTAATATTTATCAAAGGGCTGACAAATCCATTGCAGCGCAAGTTAAGAAAACCTTTAAGGATATATTTGAGGGAGAATCTTTTGACTCTGGTAATTTTTCATGAAACTTTCAATCTCAACCACGCTTTAACTGTTTTATAACTAATCACATAATTTACCCAAATAACTCACATACACATTGAATTGCAGGTGCGAGTTTCACAACTAAAATCTTTAAACCGCCCACCAGAAACTTTAAGTATTCGGGAGACTTTCGAAGCCCATTGAAAACAATACTTGAAGACAGATCTGAGTGTGAAGCGACAAATGATCTCAAGGGATTTCCACTGGTGGAGCAACAACAAACTTTAAATATCTCAGATAAATATAGCGAGATGCTGGAAAAAATTCATGCACATTTCCAATGCAAGAAAAGCGGCGCGGTTAAGCCGCTGTTAAGCATACAAAGCATCGGAAAGTTGGCGGAGACTATAAACAGTAACAAAGAAAAACTTAACTGGAAGGCCAAAACCATTATTAGCAGAAAGCGAAAGATATGTGAAGTAGATTCGGATTGTAACATTTCAGATTTAAACTGTAGCTCTACCACGTCAAGCGGGTCTAAAAGACCCAAAAAAAGATTGGGTTGTTTTGCTTCCCCAACCATTCAAGTCCAACCAAGTGGAATTAAAATGGCAAACCATTTATTTCAAGACTTGGAACCGAAAACGTTTTCAACCTCGACACCTGTGAAATTCGAAAATCTTTTAAAACCGCAGAATTGTAATTCGACGCCTATACCAAGTGCTAGAAAAAAATTAGACAGCATGTTCTCTCCAAGTGCATATAACACCAGCTTGGACTTGTCTAAAACTATTCACAAAAGCCTTAATTCAACAGTAATGACTGTCCATAGTAATACGTTTAGCTTGAGTAAGCCTGCGGAAGCCGACGCAAGAGTATGGTTGGGGAATTTGGACAAAGAAAGGTTGCTTTTGCAGGAACAATTGAGGATCGTCAATGAAAAACAGGCTATTTTAGCTCAGCAGGCAACTATATTGGATTTGCCTATGAAGGAAAAGATCAAGTAAGTAAACAGGCTTTAAGGTAACTTAAATATTTTGAATATGAATTATTTTGTCATCTTGTGTTATTAGACCCAAACCAGGGTTATTATATGAATCAAAAAGAAAAACCAACAGAGTCAGGCTTCAAGAGTATGTCCAGTATTCCGAGCCGGGTGCTCAAGCTGGTGCGGATGGATTTTTAGATCAAATTAATCCACAAAACTCACATTTGATGCACTTTATCAGTGGCCAACGGTGAGGAGAAATATACAGCAGCTTGATATATTGACAAATTACATATTTACAGAATATCACATGTCACAACTGAAGATGGTGCTGTGATAATACCAAATGTAGACTCTAAGATAGGCATATCAGAAATAGAACATAGCTTTAAGTTGCTGGAAGGAGTGGACAGAACGTTGATACCGTCAAATTGGATTAGGAACCACTACAAGTGGATTATCTGGAAACTTGCCAGTTACGAAAGAATGTTCCCGCATATCTTTGATGGGTGTTTATCGGTGGAGAACGTTATGCAACAGTTGAAATATAGGTCTTAAATTTTCAAGTATGGAATTCAATCAGAATTGTAGACAAAGCGTTTCAGGTACGACGTGGAAATCGACAGAGCTCAGAGATCCGCCCTAAGAAAAATCTTTGAAGCAGACGATTGCCCTCAGAAGCGAATGGTACTTTGCGTCTCCAAAGTAATTAAGGTAAACTGTGTGTGGCAGCAGGTTTGCAATATTTTTTAAATAACTCCATCTTTTGCAGATTAATGATACGTATGAGCTGGAACTAACCGACGGTTGGTACCCAATCAGAACGGTCATAGACCTCCCCCTCTGTGATCAAATAACTAGAGGAAAAATAAAAATTGGCACTAAAATGATCGTCTGCGGGGCAGAACTGATGAACTGCGAAGGGTGTCATCCATTAGAAGCAACCGATTTGATTCATCTGAAAATCAGTTTCAACTCGACAAGAAGAGCGTTGTGGTGGTGCAAACTGGGCTATCAAAAGCAAGCAGGACCTTTTGTAATACCCTTGTCGAGCATTAACATGAACGGAGGGAAAATTGGGTGTTTGAAGTGCTTCATTCTCAGAGTGTACCCGGTAAAATTTTTGGAAACGTGCGGAAGCAAAAAGGGTATGTGCAGTATATACCCATAATTGCTTGAAAACATGGATTTTATGCCTAGTGTGGCGAAACCAAAAAGCAGACGAACGATCAGAACAAAACTTCTACAGTGAAAAGTTCAGGCGAGTGGATTCTTTGCACAACAAATCGGCCGATAATGGTGTAAAATCAATGAGCTACAAAGATGTTAAGAATATTGAAGATCCTCAAATTCTATATGATATCTTGCAACGAAGTAAAGATCCTGAAAATTTGCAGGTAGTGGATCAGCCAGGAACAACTAATGAGTCAATTAAACATTTACTTTTTTATTGCAGGAAATGCTCACATCAACACAAAACACTATTCTCTATAATTACTCTCTGGATAAATCCACTAGTACGCATACAACTGAATGGAATGACGATAAAACATCTCAAAGAGCAGTAAAGGCGTTGTTAAAGATAAAAATTGTCGATGCTTGTTACAACTCAGACAAGATTCATGATTTACAAGTGTGGAAACCCACAGAAAATCATTTACATGAACTGAGAGAGGGAGAAATTGTAACCTTATTCAATACATCCTGCAGGTACAGATTATACTTTTAATTTAAATCGAGTTTTTATTGGAGGACTTTATAGTTCAGTCTGGGGTTTAAACGCCAGTCAAAATACCCAATTCAAAATAGAAGGCCGGTCAAGCGACCGAAAATTTGAGAAGTTCAAGCGTAAAGTCACACATATAAAAGATATGGAGACTTTCTTCGACAACAGTCTATTTAACGAATTTGATACCGTGGGGATTGTTGTGAAAAAAATAATAAATGAGGCTGATCAGCAAGTTTGGATGGCCGATAGGGAACAAAGGTGGTTTTTTTATGAAAAAAGTAAAATGGTAATTATTTGGTAAATTGCAGACTTTTGCTCATTAATATCTGCGATTCTCCGAAGAACATTCTGGTATTGGATATGATCAATGAAGGGCAAATTGTGTCAGTGTGTAATTTGATTTTTCAACACCACCTTGATACACATTCCTTCGCCGTAGGGAATCATTATGTAATTTTTGCGCGATATTCTAAACACAAGCACTTGCAAGAAGCGCTTGACGGCTTAGAAAAGGATTTTAAAGATATCGTGAGTTATTAACATTTAATTACTACCTACTAATGAGTATAAAGCAAACAGAAAGAGTTTTTTCAATATTGCATAATTAAGGGATCTTGTAAACTATAACAATTCAACAGAGGAAGAACTGGGGAATTTTTTTTAACCCAGTTTGCAGTTTTATGAAGTGCGTTTAAAAACCATATTTAGTGTTTCATGTAAGAAAAGTCATAAGTGATATCTTTATATTTATATAAAATCAAAATCCGCCAAACAACGTTGTAGCTGTATTGTGTAAAAATGTACGAGTAGATACATTTTTACTTCGACATACAGCTTAAAACACACAAGATCAAATTGAAAGTGGACTTTAAAATAGCTGATTTCTTATCGTTTTTAATTGTATTTGATGTTCTTGTTTTGAAGTCATACATTTTAGGACCGACATGATTTTATACTGAGATGTACAAGCAAAATAAAGCATATTGGACTTGAAAAGGTCGGTAGAAATCCCATGGATTTGGACGACATGGAATGTTCGCAGATAACAACTACTGATATTGCACTTTTAGAATGTTTAGAAAAATTAGCCTAATATGGAAAATAATGGAATATGATTTGCTGAGGTGATAATTGAAATGAAGTCAAAATATTTATTTTAAAGTTAATAAAACTATATTTTAAGATATTCATTTGTATTACAAAGAATATAAATTACTTACTTTGTTTAGAATTTGACTAGATCATGCTCCACTCCTGTGCTATGTGTTTCTTAAATTGATCCAAGTATTGACAGGGCATGAACATGTTGACTTTGTGGAATTCGTTCATTCCGGATCTCACCCAATGGTCAGATGCGCCTAAATTAATGTTAGTTTTTTACATACATTACTGTCAACTTTATCTGATCAATAAGAAGTCCATAAGACATTTTTCAGCTTTGTAATAAGTTTGTTTGAAAATACACATTCGTAAATATTTACTCACCAGTTTCGGTATTTATAAGCAACAGAGCATTAACGTCGTGCATTTCTAAATTGGATTTAAATCCAATTATTGGCAAATTCACTGAACAATTACCAGTGCTAGGATTTCTAATAAGGCTATCGTCGGACAAAAAGTTTGACAATTTTTGCATCGGCTTTGGACGCACACGTACTGAATATATTGACTGGCTTTCTTTGTTAACGGCTTTGCAAAAAATACGTATCAGTTTGGACCTGAAAACAGTTTTCTTTCAGTTTGCCACTACTCAATTATTTTTTTAAAGCCTACCTTTCCTCAAATGAATGTCCCAGAAGATTCATTGATCCTAAAGAAACGGCATCTATAACATGCAAACTATGTCGAGTAACCTGTTGATTATTCACGAATATCTTCTCTTTTACGAAATCTGCTAGAAGCAGTGTTCCCTTCACAAGGTGGAGACTCTGAATTTTAACCCAGTTCTGATTATTTTGCAAATGAAACGTATTGGAATATCCCACTCCTGAAATTTGATATCAAGTCAATCTACAATGCACTAAGTATGCATTTTTATGGGACTCACCTGCCACGAAATTTACTGTTTGGCTTCTATCCGAACTATATATATATGCGCAGAGCCAGTTATTAATGTTTCCCAATTTGGCCCTTGCTGCTTCCCAAGAGTGGACGTACCGAAGTTGAAAGACAACTTGCGCTAAAAACATAAACATGTATATTCCATTTACATCAATAAATTGCTCAGTCAATTTTCAGGGGTTACTGGAGCTTACCTCTAATCTAAATTTTAAGTTAAGTTTAAAATTCATGAATTTTGTACCTTTTAATTTTGCTCTTCTAAGCTTCAAATTTATAACAATGTCGAAATTGCATAAAGTTTATTTTCCTTCGGTACATTTCAAATTGGTCGAAACATCTTGACACTAGATGCGCATTATTATAGCATTATATTGTTTACAACAAGCAAATTAATTCTTTTGAGAGAGTGAATTAATGTTTTGCTATTATTTCGGATTCTTGTCATATTTATTCATTTTTTACCTCCAGACAAACACCTACAGAGATGAGGCCAATTTTGAGTCAATCCATACATATAAGAAAATTATTGTACTTTTTTCACTTACAAATTTTCAGGCCCAAGTCGGTAAGCAGATCCTGAACTCTGTAAAATATACGTTTCCTATTTTGATTTGGAAGTTTCCAATATTCTAGTGACTGACTACGTAAATCATCTTGCCTGGCTTCGATCAAATTAGGGTTTCTGCAAAAAGCTGCCAATTTCTTTAAAGCCACAATCTGTTGATTGCCAATTCTGCAAAAATGAATGTGAAAATACAATTAAAATTCAAAAAAATCGAATATTTAAATGGATGCTATGAAATACAGAAAAGTTTCAGCTTTTGTGCTTTTTACCTTGTATTACTGTCGAAAATATATTGAAAGAATGCAGCATCTTGCTTCAAAACTTCCGCATCAACTATCTCCAAAATATCTTTATCCAAAGTTTTCAATTCCCACAATCTAAACACTATTTTCCACATGTATTCCTTTATAACAGTTGTACGTACATCTGCTTTAAAATTACGGCACACAAAATATCTTTCAGAATTGGCGGGACGAGACGAATTCGGTTTTATAATACCAACTGAAAGCAGGCTATATCTCCTATTTGTGCGTATTGAAAACTTAAAACTTACCACTTTCAAAACACAAATACATTAAATAGAGAAGTCCAACACTAAATGGCGTGAAAATATCGAAAGTTTTTGTAACAAAATGTCCATGTGGTCTTAGTGTTTTCAGTGCCAGTATGCACTGGCAAACGTAAATAGTTTTGGATATCACTTCTTGTAGACTTTCTTGGCCTTTCACACTAAATCCCTAAAGTTAAAGTCTGTAAAAATAATGTTCGCAAATTACAACCGAAGCTTCCAGGCTTACTCCATCAGACATCATAAAATGTAGCCCCCCTTTGCTTTCATTGGCCACTCTATCAGCAAAATCGGTCAGATTATCAGGGTTGCATATATCTCCTCGTTCATCCGCGCCATATAAGGGTTGAAACATCGCAATACTAGCACAGCACGAGTCAGCAACTAATGTTCCAGATCCGATAAAATATTGAGACAATCTAGTTGATTAATAATAGTTACCTTTGAAATCATGCTCATCTTTCAGGGTCATTCCGAATCCTTTATACCACCACTTTTTCCGCCATAAAATATATTCAGTGAAACCTCCGGGACCAGCACATATGTCCGCAAAGTAAATAGGGCCCTCTTTATTGCTGAAATTCTCCTGACAAAATGTGTAACTTGAGATTAATGGAAGATAGCACTGCGTCTTTCTTACGTTTTCTTCCATAGTAGTAAACATAAAATCACATGCCGCATCGATATTAACCATCTTTAAGGCAGCTCTGTTCATGAAAAACATTGCTCGTATAGTTTCAAAAGGGTTCGCTCTCGTTCTTGCTTTGTTCAGGTCTTCCGCATCAAGTTCATCAAAGATGTTCTAAAAAAAACCGTTGACTGCCTAATTCAATAGTTAGAATATATGTCTTACTTTGGCATTAAAAACATTTTCAATGACTGTCTTATCACAAAAAGGTGAATTCTTGATAACTTCAGTGCTAGAAGGTCCCTCTTTCAGCCAATTTTCTAAGTCACTTGGAGTTATGTCGGTGCTATTCGTATTGTTTAACCAATCGACTTTCTCTTCGACTATAATTTGCTCTTGCGAAAAATCCCATGTCTCGTTTGTTAAATTAGTAGATGGGACACTATGGCCTAAACCGATTTTCCTTGCGTTGGGGGGTACCGCAACGGGTGCTTGGAAACTCGCCGGGCCTTGTTCAACTCTACCCAATCCAAGTCCCACTTTATAACCCATTTTTTGCTGAAAATATGTTCTTTTCCTTACTCCATTAAGAGCAGGGAAATTTTTTTGACTATGCATAAGATACTGAGCAGGGTCCCTCAATAAATGCACTGTACTCCAAAAATAAATGTCTTTTTATAGAACACCATACTCAATCTTTATTAATGGAACTAATTGGTGCATTCAATTCTCTATCCAACGATGCCAAAACGAATTCTGTGGCTCGAATGGTTTTTGAGAAATTTCGAAAAAAGCAGCGTCATGTTCAAGTGGATTTTGCAACTCAAAAAAAAAACCACGCAAATCTAAA